CCCCAAAACCCCAAAACCCCAAAACCCCAAAACCCCAATAAAATATTTAATTGTTGAAAATTTAATATAAAAATAAAAAGTGATGAATCTAGGCTGAAAAAGCCCTGAATTTTACCCTAAATACACCCATTATGGGTCAGATGGCCAAGGGAGAGACTCCTATATCCTCAAGAACAATGGAGGATTGTGTAATGAGCCTACAAGACCTGTTTTCAAAACAACTATGTACTCCAAGGAATTTCCAAGTAAGTTAGATCATCGCAAGAAATCCAAGCTGCTTTTTCCTTTACTTAATAAGGAATTTTTCTTCTAAAATATCAAATTATCAGCAGCATAGCTTCTTAGAACTAATTTAAGGTGATTCCTTCTCCATTAGAAACTCATAAGTTACTCCTGTTCGCAATTCCTAAATAAAAACACATACGAAAACTTCGTAAATATAGATACTGTGGCGCCACCTCCACAAAAAGGTGCCACTTCTTTCAAGTACATCTCTGATGGAAGTGGAAGGGACTTTTACATCACTCATAATTCTGGAGGATTGGAAGCACCATATATCCCAGGAACAAAGCATTCAGATTCCCATTTCATCACCTCTTTGAGATCTGGCAGTAAATTTTTGGGTGCCAAAAAGCTATCCACTCCTGCAGAGAGACATAGAATGAAGAAGTGCCAATCTGCCCAACGTTTACTTGTTCAGAGATTAACAGCCAAATCTCAAGAATGGAGAGATATTTCAAGAGATAATAAAATGAGGTCTCTTTCAAGAGAAAGAGAGCTCCGCTCACCTCAAGCAGCTCAGCATAACAGACTCATGGAGTTCCAGGCTACCAGAAATGAAACCCTCCAGAGACCTATGCTTCTATACAGCCATATGAAGGAAGCATCCGGTCATCATACTAATGTACCTAAAATGAGTTTCCCTGTTTACGCAAGGTCAACAAGAAATTTGGTATCAGTGCTTTCTTATCTTTAGAACTTCCAAGATAATGCAAACCCTTTACTCTATGATCAATCTTCCAAAATTGGTCCCCAAATGGAAATGACTAGAGTAAAACAGAATGGCTTAAAGAAGAGAAAATATTCAGCACTTCTCTCCAAAACTCAAGGGTAATTGTTGATAGATCTTACTGAGGCTTTCCCTCTTAATAATCCTTGTATCCTAGATTTGGTGTTTATGGACTGCCCTTTTCTCTGTTTCTGGTCTTTACAAGATTCTTCAAAAATGTTAACTATCAAGAAATTTGCAACTCCATCACAAGAAAGCCTCTCAAGGAAATTTATCCAAAAATTAAGCTTTGAATAAAATTTTTGGTCGGGCAGCCTCGCTGACTAGAGCCTAACTAAAAATATAGAACTTTGTTTACTAAAAAGAACAGTAAGAAGCAGAGTGCAGCTCCAACTCCAAGAAAGAACGTATCAACAACTGGAAAATGTAATTTGCAAGTACTATTTAGCAGTATTAGGACGTAAGAGAGGGAAAAATGATAAAATTAAGCCTACTGAACCAAAGCTGAGCCGCCACAAAGCAGCCTCTAAGTACGTTAGATGAGTTAGACAATTTAGACTTAAACTACAACTCCCGGGTGATGAAGATTTTGACAAGTTAAACCACCAGAGCGCTACAACTAAGAATTTAAGAAAAGAGTTACTGAATTTAAGAAAGAGGATGATCAAATAAAATTCAATACTCTATTTATTGTTAGGGGTTTTGGGGTTTTGGGGTTTTGGGGTTTTGGGG